TGTACGGCTGACCAATAGAAAAATGAAAGCATATATAGAGGCCAAAAATCAAGTAATGGCTGAAAAACGACTAAAATTTAGTTTGTTTTTTGAATACCTTATTTCTTCTCGTGTTTATTATAATTGGTTGTTTAAGAATGTTTATTTCTTTTTCGAGCCAGTCTTCGTGCGGAAGAGGAAAATGCTCTTGTCTGTACTTATTATGTGTAGTCCTATAGGCTGTTTCCGTACTATAACAGCGCAGTAGTTTAGCATGCCTTGGATCTGCACTGTAAAAAATAACGGCGAGAGCCATGAGAAGCTTATTAGCTTTTCTGACGAGAGAGCTTTTCTCTTTTCGAGACTCGAGACTACAGTATCGAGGCTTCTCGATACTTCTCGTCTCGGTGCATCCCTACATCTTGTAGAGCAAACAATTGTCTACAAACTGGTATATTTGTTGAAGTTTTGCCTGCTCATCTTCACTCTTTTAGACACGTTTTTCAGATAGCCCCAAAATCGATTTTTTCGCGCTGAAAGTTCGCGTTGGGCTGTGATCATAGTTGTAAGCGTGTTCTACAGTTGGTTACGAAAATTTCTGACCAAAGTGTGAAGTGATCTCCCTCCCAAACATGCCATACACTTTCGGCTCGTGTGACGAAAGTTCTTTTTTCTATATGCCGAAAATTAACGTGGCGAAAATGCTATCACCCATTTTGTTGGATATTTGTTACTGTAACGGCATTCCTGATCGTACGAATGAGTGCGACTTTATAAAACAGATCAATAAAGGTTCGTCTAAATAGTATACCAGTTAATAAATACAAATAAAATGGCATACTCATACTGATATGCGTAAATAGAAGCAACACCTGGAATATGGCGTTTTCAATTGTCAATGATAGTTCACCTCTGACTATACCTGTTGTAAATGCTGAATACAAACGCTGAACTGCTGTTGGTAGTGCAAGTGTTGTTAATAACAGAACTTGTACCCACAGCATTTGTATTAATTGCCTATCAGACCTTTTAATGGTTTTTGTACCTTTATTATTATTACTTCGAGTAGCAGAATTAGTTCCAGCTGTTCGTTGTAGTTTTCTAATATTTAATATTGTTAAATAGCCAAATAGGAACATTATTAAACAAGGTATTAGTACAAAAATAATAGTAAATGTTAAACTATTATATAAGTCACATTGATAACTTTTAGAATAACATGCTAATGGTGATCGTGGAGTGGGGAGATTTGCTTCGAAACAATAAAACACTTCAGCATAAATTAGCACTGAGAAAACTGGTATAATTCCAACTAGACAATACGTAGTTTTTAAACTACTAAAACGTCGACGTTGAACATTTTGGCAACTAATAAAATAACGATCAACTGATGCCAGTGCAATTAACCATGTTGATGTTGTAAATGAAGAATATAGAAAAAAACTTCGTATTTTGCACAGTGGAGAGGATTTATTTGTTGGATCCAATCGATAAGTGGCTAATATACGTGTTATAAGTCCCGAGTAAAGTGCTACTAAACCTGATATTGATGAGGAGAAAAAGTAAATTGAACATGGATTTGAACGTAATGGACGTTGAAGAAATACAATTAGGTTTGATACGTTACCAATTGTTCCACATATAAGTATAAACATGCATAAATATCGTATTATTTGTGTTGATACTGTATTTATAGTTAAGATCAAATTTTCAGTGTCTGACATATTTAAACAACTCGAGTTAAATGAGTTAAACTCAATTTTAGAACATATGCGGATGATATATCTGCGGTCTATCGCACACAAAAATTCACTAACAGCATTTGATAAGTTACAAATATCCTAATCTTAGTTCAAACGAACGTTAATACGGTGTCTCACTATGATACTAACGGCTACTGAGAATAATGTTACTAAATGTGTTCTGCAATACGTTATCTTTTATTTCATCAATGGTGAAATAGAAATATGAAAATCGCCCCATGGTATATAAAATAATTGAGAAAAAAGTCGAGAATGCACGTTTAATGAGAGATTCTCATTTCAAGCTCATCTTCTTTTATCAGAAAGGAAATGTGTCTACTTCCGATAAGCATACAATAGTAATGCGATAAAAGATGAACGTGAAAAAAGAAATAGGGACGGAGATTCGCTTCACTGTATACACACAAATTGAGATTTGTATTTTTTTTCTCAATTAATCTACATATCATGGGAAGATTTTCATATTTTTATTTCACCATTGATAAAATAAGAGAGATAATGAGTGTATCGTAGAAACCCTTTTGGTAACATTATTCCAGTAGCCGTTAGTGTCATAATGAGACACCGTATTAAAGTTCATTTAGAACTAAGATTAGGATATTTGTGACTTGTCAAACACTATCAAAAGTTGGGAACAGCGTAGTTTGTAGCTCTGTTTCAGGCGCAATTTCCGACAAAGTTTGGGAGATGGTCACATCATCTGTGATGGACATACCTCAATACTATGAGAACCATCATCATCGGCTATCCGTGAAAGATGATTCCGAGTCGACCAAAAATCGCTTTTTTCTCTGTCAAGATTAGACAGTCGGAAATGTTAATTATATGAGCTTATAGCTCTACAGAACTGCACATAAGAAATATTTTTCATAAACTTCTCGATTGATACTGAAGATAACATTGGTTAGCCGTTTATCATTATCAGAGGTTGAAATTTACAATTGGTCGCTACGAAATAGATAGATTATTTAAGATATAGATCGATACTTTTTGTAAAATATGAAATTAAAGTATCGATCTGTATCTTAAATAATTATCTGAGGTGATAGGACGCAGTAGTAAATTGACTCTAATTCTTCCAAAACTTAATGGAAACATGATTTCCTATATACCATTCAGCGCGCTTCGAGCTGTTCTTCAAACTGGCATATTGGTTTCGCAATATGCACTTAGTCACCAAATCCGATGGAGTCCTTTTCATGTTATCAAACGGAAAATTCATTTATTTATCTATTGTACAGATAATGAAGATGGAGTTAATCTGTGTACAAGTACTATTGAAGGAACAACAGCAACAATTTATGTTTCTGATAATAACATTATTATGTCTCCTACATTGGAAACGGTCATGTACTGTCTGTATTGAGTAGATGAAGTATTTTTTGTTTTTATATAACAAAATCTTATTTTTATAAAATGCTCAGAAAGTGCTGTCGACTAAAACACACTATGCCTTCGGTTGAGCAGAATCCTCTTACTCTCTAGAGTGGAATGAGTTGAATAAGATTTTCTCTGATAAGTCATTCCGATTTATTCTTATTCAAAATGCGAATGATCAAAAGTGAGCAAAAATTTAAACGCGATCATATTTAGAAAAATGTTTCGCCTGTTTCGGTGAAAAGAGCTTTTCCTTTATAAGACCGGACACAAAAATAGTTCGTCCTTCTCATTTTAGACAAAAAAATCGTATTTTACAGTAGCATCTCTTTTATTTAACAGGTTATGAACCACACATTGAAATCTCTTTAGACTGATCATTTTTGTCTACCATATATTGCAGTAAATATCATACATAATCAATGCCGGTTCGCAGGTAAATGAGAAATCAGAGCATTCCAATTTGTTTTTAAGTCGTTCAACAGACTTATTATATCAGCGAAAAAAAAGCCATTCCTACGGAGCGAGTACTGATAAAATGATTGATGTTGATTGCCCGGTGAGATATCAAAAGAATAAGGTAAATATCTGGTTATCTCCTAGCACAAAATTCAGTTTGTTTAGAATATCTACGATCGCAACATCTTTTCGAGCTCCATAAATAAATTCAGGTGATATGAGAACATTTTGAATTTGCAATAGGTCTACAAAAGAAACAACGGTGATAGAGAATATTTTGATGAGTGTTGTGTCTCTAACAGGCTTTAACGAGAGCAACTTCAACATTAAAACGAACATAAAGATAACATTGAGATTTGTTGATTGTAGGAGATAAATAATTGGTTAATTGAATTTGGAATAGTTGCTACCCATGTAAATGAGTTCGGTTTCCGGAGGATTTGGCTGAGCTAAAATAACTTTTTTATGAATGGTACATTATGATATTCAGTTGCACAGTGGGCAACCAAGCGGACATTAGGCAAAAAATCGAAATAGTTCTATTCTCACACATAAATAGTGCAAAATGTAGCTCTTTAAATTCTCTATCGAATGGTCTATAAATGTCTGTTGTGAAAATGCAACCCTCGAATAAAAAGCAGGATATAAAAAACACGAGCAAAAACGACATCTATATACAAAATCTTGATTTTTCTATTTTTATCTCAAATAAAACGATTTTAAAACACATATTCGGAATCAGCGTCTTCTCGGCTATCTATTCGTATAAAATATATTGATTTCAACATTCACTGAAATAAATAGTAGCCCAATACAGTCTAGACTCCAGTCCGGTATCATAGTACTCCAGTATAGTCGGATCGCCCTCGTACACCGCACAGTAAAATGACATCCAAATACACCAAAATGTTCCTCAGATCATTCTGCATCTATGGTATAATCATAAAATGTCACACTCTTAACAGTCACGTTTTACAGACGCTCCAAAACCCTTAAGTTTTTTACGGTATTTCGAAGTTTTCTCTATCAAATTCGAACTTTTCATCGAATATAATACCATATTCAGAATCAGCAAGAAAAA